TCCACTGCTCATTCTCCAGTATTTGCAAAGCAATGACCAATTTTCCCAAAAAAAGAAAAAAAGAAAAGGCAATAACACTGAAGAAACAAAATTTCCTGCCTCTTCAGTTGAACCTTGGTTGAATAACAAGTAGTGAATATTTTGAGAGAGAATTTCACCATACATTTCTTAAGAGCCAGCTACACAACTAATTTAATAAAAATAGACCAAATCATTAAAGACATCAAGAACTGAGCAACAAAAACAACGAATGTTTAGCATTAATATAGCGCTTCTCACCGTCAGAGAGGATTACAGCAATTAATTAACAAATTTTAATCCTAATTATTGATTTGATGGGAGTCATCCACTGTGGTTGGTGTCTCTGCACAATGTGCTTCGTTTTAAATCCTATGTATACCTCGGACAATGAAAGAGGTGAAACTTCAACCTAGAAGTTCAGGGTCTTCACCAGAGATCTGCTGTGTGAGAACGTTCTCTTATATGGAAGCAAAGGTTTCTATTTGCAGCATGAAACTCCACATTCATAGCCAGCAGCAATATATGAAAATCAGCAAGTAACAAACCCAAAAGCTCCTTCCTATGTTCTCCTTGGGAAGTCATCAGTACAGGGCCAAAGAAAACAGGAAATCAAGCATTGAAAGAACGATTTCAAGTAGCTGCTTGAGAGATACGCCAATTTTAGCATCAATGAGAGCACACTTCTCCCACCAACCCAAAACAGATGCAAAAACACTAATCCCAAGAGGCACAAATGTCTCAGTTACTGTGATAAATGAACTCTCTAGGGGGAAAATGGTTCCTTTAAAGCCAAGGAAGCCCAAGAGAAGTCCTGTTAATTATACTTTTTATTCTTTGGTTATGAAGCAAAAATAAAGATCTGTGACAAGTTTATGGAAGGGATAAAATGAGGAAAGGTGGGTTTTATTTCTCCTGCTAGAGTGTATGATGCATGGAGTTGTATTTGCAGTTACTAGGTTACAGTGCAGAGTGCAATGTCTGATTTTCCCATACTTCTGGGCTTTGGTAGTTACCACATGGGGCCAGGAAGAATTTTTTTCCCCTTATTGCCAGAGGTATTGGAGAGGAAGAGGGGTAATTGCCTTCCTCAGAAACTTTGGGTGTTGGGTACAGCCAAAGCTGCAGATTTTTGACTGGTGTGTGTCTACGTTACTTGTGGGACTTAAAAAAGCCCCGTAGGTTCCTAGTTAGACGATCTTGCTTTTCTATACAGGATCAGGTAGATCCAAACATTCAGGATCATAAAATAATTTTACCCAATGGGCAGAATGGCACAGACTGTGCAGGGTTTTGTCTTCCACTGCAACTGGGGTATGGTCCTCTTCCTTGCATCTGTCAAACATATTTTGACAAACTACTTCCTGTCCTTGCAGTGGCAGGATATTGACAGTGCCCTCATTCCCTTGGTTTACCTGTGGCAAATTATGGTGATCTTGATATTTTCAAGCACTGTACATAGTAGTTGTGAATGAAAGTTACTTATGCAGTTTCAAGAACAGATTAGACAAGTGCTTCAATAGGAGGCTTAAATAGGGATGATCCTGCCTTGAGCTTCCTGCCTCCTGAGGTCCTTTCCAGATCCACTTTTCTATGATTCTTACAGGGTAGCTTATAAACATGGTGTCGCTTATTGAACACTTTGGGCCAAATATGGAGGTGAGATTAAGTAATTCTAAGAAAGTCTAAGTTTGTCCAAGCCTTCCAATAATTTAAGTTACAGCACCTCTCTGACATATGTCAAGACAGATCCTACAAAGCTCACCTCTGAATTTGGCCAGTGGTCCTCCTTCCACCATACTTATACTCAAGGAGCTCAATACTCTCCGGTACATTTGTGGAATTCCACTTGTCCTAATAACTCTGTTTATATCATGGAAAGCATGAACATTTTTAGTGGCAATAGATTTGATCATTAACTACAAGTAAAAAAAAGTCTTAGAAAAATGAATTGTTTCTTAATATCAGTTGTGGGTCTAGAAATGGTTTTAAAAACAATATTTCTTGTTTCCTTGGAGTCAAGTCTAAAGGGTTGACTGTAAAGTGGACTGTAAAGTGGACTAAAATATTTCCTCCAGGGAGGAAAGCTGTACAAAATATCACCCCAGTGGGTGGCAGATCAGCTGCACACTGAAGCCATTTGTAGACACAGTAGATTTTAATAACAAAAGCACTTCAGAAGCTTTAGATGGGCAATTAAAAACTGTCAAACTTATGACTCCAGTTGTGTGTCACAGATGGTGCACTAAAACTGCAGATGAATGCTACTATTTAATGACAGAGGAACTAATTTTAAAATCACTTAAAGGGACACTATCAACCCCCTCAACAGACCTCAAATGACTTTAAGGGACTTGATTCCCTATCAAGCAGCTGATTTTGTGTATGGCTTAAACTTCTCTTATTTTATTCACTCTTACCTAGACTGTAAAATGTCCAGTGGTAGATTTTCAGTTCTTAAGCCCCGTCATAAAAGTTTGTCTTGAGACAAGTTAACAAAGATTAGCCATGCCCACTCTAATAACAGAAGCCTCTGCGACAGGGGTAAATCACAGTTCAAGTCCCTGATTCTACTTCATGTGCAGCAAGGCTCAGTCAAAAAATCAGAAAATATAACATACCTGTCTGGCAGATTACAAACTAATGATGCCTTTCCCATCTCTGTAGTGAACAAATACAATATGAAGCAACCCCCTTGGATTATTTTTTACCTAAAATATTCAACTTTTCCCTTCTTTGTTGTAGCTAAGGCACAAATGCTATCCAGAAGCTGACAAAACTATGCCGCATAATCAAATTGGCCATTTTCATGGCAAACAAAAGAAACAACTCTGCAACATAGGTGTATCAAGAAACTAAATATTATATTCCACATGCAAAGCTAATTTCTAGCAGCAGTGACATAAAAGCAAATATTCCCATTGATTCAGTTCATCAGCATTTAACCCCTCGCAAAAACTGAAAAAAACCCATATGCCAGGGTTGCTAACCAGACTGCGACCAAACAGTGTCTGAGATGACATGTGTACCCTCTGTGCACAACTGATGATTAAACATGGCTGCTGCACAAGTCCATTTACCTTGAATTGATGGCAAACTGCAAGCAGCCAAAAACAAGTTTAAGGGCAGTACTTGGTGATACGGTCTGTACAGGACTCTTGTTGGCATTAATAGAACCTTCACGTGAAATGCATGTAGACAGTATAATAGAACTTTTCAGTATTAATAAAAGACACCAGAAATTTGACCCTACTGCCAGGTAGGCAGTTAGTTAAGTACATGACTGTTTATTAACAATAATTAACAAATAGTTCAGATGGAGAGTCTTTTTTTTTTTTAATTTGGGATCTTATTACCCATTGTTTTTGAACCTCCCACATCTGCACACATTCTGAGTATGGTAAGTCCAAGTCAAAAATCTCCATTCTTTCATGTGACATTTTACATTCACTCAGAACTGATATAAATGACTTCTCATGGTACAAAGCAAAGAGGAAGTGTGCTTTATATATGATTCTTTCTCAGGCAACCTTTCATTGAAATCAATGGATCCGAATAGACAGCCCAGCTTACTCAAGTGGCTAGCAAAAATGTAAATACAAGACACCCCAAAACACACTAAAGCAACACAGCTTCATAAAAAGAGTCAGGAACCTGCACTTAAATACCCAACTGTGTGATCTGAACATAAAAGAGTGCAATTTACCTCCACACCTACCTAAAAGATAAGTGAAATGATAGCCCCATTATCCTGAAAGCAGAAGTGAAGTCACATTACAGTGCACATGTGAATCAAGCGTATTACCTTGATGAAACAAACCAACTTACTTAGGCAGGTCTAGATATTTCAATATAGCAAAACTTTGCTGAGAAATCCAGGTGCCAAGAATTACCTTGACTCTCTTGTTTGCAGATAGAATGAGCTTGTGTATGGAAAAGTGGGGATTGGCTGCTGATTGTTCACAGGGCAAGGACTCTAGAAAAATATTGCATTTAGTAGGGTTTCATAGGTTTTCTTCTAAGCTACAGAAAACATTGCACTGATCTCTGTATATAGAGAAATTCCAAGAATGTACACTACTTATCAGTTTGAGCTTGGGCTCAAATTCTGATTTAGGTCAGCATACACACCACAACTTGGCACAATCAGCCAGGATTGTCAGTGTCCATTTAGTCAAAGCACAGCATCAGAATATCAAGGAGAACTGCTGATCAGTTTGGGGGTAAATTAGCAGACAGAGCTGAGAAAATATAGGGAGAGAGTTAGGGATGGAGTAGCAGCGGGTACTATGGATCAAAAAAAGATGAACAAAGATTGAACAGCTCTTGGTGCCTGCATGCCCTCCATTTAGCTCTAGTTTCTCAATCCATCCCTCACTCCCATGAGAGCTACATTCACTTGCACAATTTAAAAGCCAGAAAAATAAACAAGAAGAAAAGAATGAACCAGGAAGTGTTTAGAGATTGCGGTGGAAGGAAAACAGAGAAGAAATTTCAGCGCTACCATAATGACAAGACACAGAGGAGGCAAAACTGGTAAGATGAAATGGTCAAGAGCAGCAAAATCTAATCCACTATTTTATGGTGGCTTGGAATAATTCCATATTTAAATATTCTTTTCCTCTTACTACGACAGACTGTTTAAGAAAGTAGAACTATGCCAAATTTGAATTCTTCAGAGTCACTTGAGAGTATCTTCAAGACCAAACCTTTGGGCCCCAAGGATTTCAGAATTCTCCCACAGCATACCTTTTGGAGTTTAAAGTGGGAGGAATTGAAATGGCCAACTTACCTAGCTTAAAAACAGGTTAAGAGGGAAGGATCTAAGGCCCTGGGGATTTGTGCTGCTAGTGTGGATAAGGGGAGAAAAATTGTCTCAATGAATTTCTGAGTTATCCATCACCTTTAAGCTGAGCAAATTTAAAATGTGGTTCTGGGTCAGTAAAATGTACTAATCTTGTGTTTTTTCTTTTTAATCCCAGGAGGTGAATTAGTTATCCCTCTACTTGTAGAAGACCCTTTAGATATTCCTCCTATTGCTACTCGTGCACCTTTCATTACACTCCCCCCTACCTTTCGCCCCCTCCTCACCATTATTGAGACCACCAAAGATTCCCTGTCCATGACCTCTGAGGCGGGGTTACCTTGCTTGTCGGACCAAGGCAGCGATGGTTGTGATGATGATGGCTTGGTGATATCTGGGTATGGCTCAGGGGAAACCTTTGACTCTAACCTGCCCCCTACTGATGATGAAGATTTTTACACCACCTTCTCCTTGGTAACAGATAAGAGTCTTTCCACTTCAGTCTTCGAAGGTGGCTACAAAGCACACGCACCTAAGTGGGAATCCAAGGACTTTAGACCTAACAAAGTCTCCGAAACTGGTAGGACTACTACCACGTCTTTGTCCCCTGAGCTGATCCGCTCCACAGCTTCGTCCTCGACTGGGATGGTGCCCAAATTGCCAGCCGGCAAAATGAATAACCGTGAGCTCAAACCCCAGCCTGACATAGTCTTGCTTCCGTTGCCCACTGCCTATGAGCTAGACAGCACAAAGCTGAAGAGCCCGCTAATAACTTCCCCCATGTTCCGTAATGTGCCCACAGCAAACCCCACGGAGCCAGGAATCAGACGGGTTCCGGGGGCCTCAGAGGTGGTCCGCGAGTCGAGCAGCACAACGGGGATGGTCGTCGGCATAGTGGCTGCTGCTGCCCTCTGCATCCTGATCCTCCTGTACGCCATGTACAAGTACAGGAACAGGGACGAGGGGTCCTATCAGGTGGATGAGACGCGGAACTACATCAGCAACTCTGCCCAGAGCAACGGCACGCTCGTCAAGGAGAAGCAGCAGAGCTCAAAGAGCGGCCACAAGAAACAGAAAAATAAGGACAAAGAGTATTATGTGTAAAAAATATACTTATTTATATATAAATATATAAATACTTAATGAGATTTAACTGAAATATCAGAATCGTTACAGCTAACAAGATTGGGAGCTATCATTTGTGGGAAAAAAATATTGGGAAAAAAATATTCAGCTGTGACTGTTAACGTCTCAATCATCACTTGGAGTCAGCAAACTCTGCCCTACTGTATTATAAAGCACACCTAGTGTTCTGGAGATGGCACATGCAGCTCTACCATGTTAGCGGACTTGGAAGTTGCCTAATCTCCCGCTCTGCTGAACTTTCTGCAAAAGGTAGAAGACTTCATGGCTTACTTGTTTCATATCTCCAAGTGAGTCTTTAACAATGTTCGTGATCTTTGACTGTATCGATAATTTTTCAGTTTACTTATTTAAAAAAAAAAGAAAGAAAAAGAAAAAAATATAAACATTATAAACAAAACAAAATCCCAAGCAAACTGATCTGGCCATGTCCAGTGTAATTTTTCAAGATTGGAGGGGGTGGAATAAATGATTTTGGAGATCGTTAGGGTTTGGTTTGGTTTGGTTTGGTTTGGTTTGGTTTCCTGGGGGTCCTTTGTTCTTTCTTTCTTTCTTTCTCTCTTTCTTTTTTTTTGCTTTTTTTGGTGGCGGGGGGGGGGGAGAATGAACTGGGACATGAGTCAAGAAGAAATCTCAGAAAAAAACCCCTAATAAATAAAGAGAGACTGTTGCCATATATGAACTCAAAAGCTACCCATGGTGTTTACTCTACATATCTGGTTGTGTTGTCTCTAGAATCCGTTGTCTTGCAGTAAGTTGTTTGCTAACAGCACAGTGAAAGTGTGTGATGGGTGGTGATGAAGATGATTTTTTTCATGGAAAGCTGGTTCTCTTGGATCTGGCTCGTGTTTTCAGTCAGACTCAAGAATAGATGGTTTTGGGTCTGGTTTGATTGGGGCCACTGGATTTATTGACAATATCATTTGGTATGCATTAGCACAGCCAAAATATGTTTAAATGGAAATAAGAAGGAAAAACTAAAGAAAAACAAGAAAATGCTTAGCCACTCTGAACAGAATATACCATGCAAAAATAAAGGAGCCATTCTCTAGATTCTGGTTCTGTGACTGATTGCAATGCATGCAGATAAGAATAATAATAAGAAATCAGTGAATAAGAAAGACAATATTCGAGTTCAGCTTGTGACATGACCCATAAACGTCACACAAGCGAAACACGCCATGAAAAATACAATATACATAGGGGGTTTTTTTTTACATAAAGCTGTTTTTCATATGTAATATTTTAATTTTGTAGCGTAACATTTCTGATTATCTCTGTCTTTCCATTTACCCTATTTTCCCTTTACCCTCTCTTTTATATACAAGAAATAAATGAATAAAGCTGCTGTGACACAAAAAATAATAAAGTAAAAGGAATTTAATAATATTATAATATATAAATATATATATATATATATACAGATATATTTATCATGGTATGTTTGATGGGACGACTGGAACAGAAATTCTGTTATGGTCTTAACATGGAATGCGAATGTTGTTTTAGAAGAAAAAAGTTTTAAAAAAGCAAAATCGAACCTTAAAAATGTGAAGAGAGCGTGTGTTTTAGCTTTGTCACAGTTATCAGTGTCAAAAGGATTAAAAAATTCTCTCAGAATTTGTTTACATATTTTACTACTTTTTTTTGTTAGTGTAATTTGTACATGGCTACCCTGAATGTATATAATGTTTTATGGTTAAGATGATTTTTTTGTTTGGTTTATATTTAATTTGTTTAATCTTGGTTGTTTGGTTTTTATTTTTCCCCAATTATTGTGTAAGGGAATAACTTACTGTACAGAACAATAACCAACTGGTTTCATGGCCATGCCAATCATGTGCAAAAAAGCAAAAGAGGGAGCAAGAGAACGAGGCAGACAAAAAGAAAAACTAATACAAAATGAATTGAGGACTCTGGAGTTTCAGAAACGTACAATTTTTCTGTATACAGATGAAAACTAATCAGCTGTTTAGGTTTAGAAATCTACTCTTGCTGGTGTTTATAAGTCGCATGAATATTTGACTTTGAAGAAGTGTCATCAAATACACACACGCACATGGGAACTAAATAAAAAGCAGCCTTCTCAAGCATTTAGAGAAGAGGCTTTCATGGTTAACAGATATTTTCAGTGTGTGTGTGTGTGTGCGTGCGTGTGCGTGCGCGTGTGCGCGAGGTTGTTTTTGTTTGTTTGTTTTTGTTTTTATTTATTTTTATACTAAAAAGAAAAAAAAAGACAGGTTTTAAAAAGGTATGAAAGCACGATTTTAGACAACCTAACTGGCTGAACCTATATGAAGTTGATTATATCTTGATGTCTGTAAAAGATTGCTGTTCTTGGAGTCTTGGAGTCTTGTGAAATGATTTCCTGCTTTCTTTCTTCCTTTCCTTTTTTCTTTCCCTTTTTACGTTAAGGGGAGAAAAACCCACTTTCTTTCTTTTCCTTTTTTGTGTAAGTTTCTATTGGACAGTTTTTGGGAACATGTGCATTTCTGTATGTGGGCTTTTACCATATTCCTGTTGTTTTATGGACAACCTTAAGAATTTTCATTTGAGTTATCGTGATGTTTTTTTTCCCCTTTCTTTCCTCCTTTTCTTTTCTTATTTGCATTTTTGTTCAAGGATATGCTTAGCAATAAAATGTTCTTCCCAAAGCCCTGGATGTTGCTGTCCTTTTTATTTTCTAAAGGCTCAAGGGGCACTCCCTCCATAGAGATGAAAAATGTCTCTGAATCAAGAACCAGAAGTCAGGTCTCCCCCATCCTAAATGACTGCCCTAACCCATGAACTACAAAACTATGTTCACACTTGTACTCTTATTCTAAACAGTAGGCATCATGACCCATCTTCTTTTGGGGCTCTAGCCTCCAAGTCTAACATTGAAGCTCGGGACAGACATTACACATAAACCAGTTTAAGTGATCAGAATCTGGCTTAAACCTGTAATGGAACAGATGTTCAGTGCGCATAAACCAGACTGAAAATGGCTGAAACTGGTTTGAGATAAACCTGGTTGAATATAGTATCAGACTTAACTGATTTGGGTCAAACTGGTTTATGCAATGTCTATCCCAGACCCCTTGTTTTAAGTTAAATCAGATTCCTCTAGCATCCAGCATGCTCTCTGGGCTGGGCAGAGCTCTCTGCTCCACAGCAGGGATGGCCCCTCCCCTCTTCTCCCTGGCTGGAGCTCTGGCAGAGACTTGCAGGCACAGTGGGGACCGCTGGCTTCCCCCTTCCCCCTCCCCGCCCCCAACCACTCACTGCTTAAGCAGGGATTCCTCCCTCCTCTCTCCCACAGCATGGGCCATAGCCAGCATGTGGTATGCTAGCTAATGCTGAGACGTTTCTGTGTAAGGCAGATAGGACAGTGTCCACTTACGGCTTTTTGAAACTAATCAACAGATTAGCTGGTAATGTCCCTCCATTCCTTCCTTTGGAAAAAGCTGTTTAAGAAGAGCTTGAACTAATGAGCCTGGCTTTGTTTTCTGATGGGGGGCTAAATCCTCATAACAGAGCTGATAAATGCTGTGTTATCAAGAGCATCCTACTGGGGCCTGGCCACACCCCCCGCAGCTCAGCCCTGGAAGGGAAGGGAGGGCTGCTGTACCACTCCCCGGCTTCTAGCCTGAGCCACTGCAGGCATGTGACTGCATTTTTTGATTCCAGACGGGATGGCTTTACAGTTACAAACTGATTTAGCCTAGCCAAGTTACACTAACCTGCAAAGACTGAATCAATTTAAGCTCAGGCTTTTTGAATGTCTGTCCCTAGCCTAAGGAACAACTGAGATCCTAAAAGAAATCCCACTCGGCTGCTCCCTAATGTACCCTAAGTTTCTGCCAGTGAACACGAGCCAAATTGCTGAAGTCAGTCAAGTCCTGATACTGTCTGGACCCCTTGATCACACATGAACTCCATCAGGATTCTCAAAATAGGCATTCCCTGGGCAGCCTCACCCGCGGGACTCCATCAGAAAGACATTCTTGGAGAATGTCTAAATTGCAAAAAAGACAGATAAAGAATTTTGGTGGAAGTCAGGGCCTAATGTGTAACCAAGAGACAACACACACAGCTAGCCTATGGAAGACCCAGGTTTCAAACCCTATTCTATCTGATTTCTAGCAGTAATTTAAACACAGATCACCTCATAAGAACTTAACACTGCAGAAGAAGGCCCTAATCATAAGGCTGCTGGGGATTCTGGGATGTTACCCAATCTTTCCAATTGAAGCAGTTCTACTTTGTATAAATAAATAGTTTCTGGGGCAAGGACTTGGAAAATGACTCTCCCACATCAGTGCCCTAACCTCTGGGCTATCAAATCAATCTCCTGCTCTCTGCTGATGAATATTTAATTACTTATGCAACATGGGATTGCTTCAACAGCAGGGAATAAGAACGCCTTACCTCAGAATACCCAACGTCTAGCCATGATTAGGGCACTCCTTGAAGATGTTACTGACCTGCTTTCAATCAGATAACTTGGGGCTTTCAAAACAGCCCTGCTCCCTCACTGCCCTGCAAGGGAGTGAGTGCGTTAATGGTTGGATATGACAGGCTGATGGTTTCTCTCTCTCTGGTCCTTTGTGAGAAAGCGCTGTCCCAGCTTATATCACTGAGTGTATGTCAGGGAACCCCCCAATACTACTGCCAAGGAACAAGCCTCACTCATTCATTTGCTGAGAAAAATGTCATGTGGTCCCCAAGCATGCCCATCATGGGGGCACATGGGAGACTGAAATCCTGGGAGCATCTCTGACCATGCCACACAAAAGCAGATGCATGGCACTTTCCTGTAAACAGCACGTGTGGAGCAGGAATAGAAACAGTCCAGTCTCCTGCATTCACAGAAATGAGCTAACACAGCTTCTTCCTCAGCAGTGATCTCAAAATTGATGCAGAGGCAGTATAAACATACCTGAACTCTGGGGGAAGGTTCATAGCTCACAAGCCAGAAAAAGACTTAGGTACCTGAAAATAGGACTTAGGCAATAAGCTGAGGGAGACTGACAGATGGCAACTGCTATGAAGCCATAGCTGCTGCTATGAAGAAAAAAATACACGTTTTATGTGGCCATTAAGACAAAACATGTCTCTGTAGCTTACTATTTTATATATTTTACATTAAGTAAGTACTGGATTTTAAAAAATCCTGACAGGAGAACCCAGAAATCTCCCATCATAGGTGAGTGCTGTCCTCCTTGCACTGCAGAGTCATGCACCTGCTGACGTGCACTCTCCTGGGCCCCAGAATACTACATTTGTAGTACACAGCGAGCAGGGGAGAGCATTCTCACTCATTCGAGCCTGGTGTCTGGGTATTCTCCTGGGAGGCTGACACTGTGGCTTTGAATCCCCTGAAACTGAGGAAAGATAGACCTCAAGTCTCTCCTTTTGTGAGTGAGGCATCTAATTACTAGGCCATTATATAAAAAGTGAGAGGTGGCCTCAGCAGTGGCCATGATTTAAAGGAAAAGCATTTTCTCACAAAGCAGATGTAAGTGCCTACCTTAAAGAGAAGAGTGTGATCCCTGGATCCCAAGTGGATAGAAACAACTCTCTTCAGCTGTGAGTTAGGCTCCAGATAACAGTGGGAAACACTTGTATGCTTAGCATTTCCTATTGTTGAGCATTAAGTGGCTCCATGCTCAGTGTGTTGGTTTTATGGATCACTCTGAGGCTCTTAACTCTCTCTACATACTGCATCATGCAACACATAGAAAGCCTACACACCTAGCACACTGTTCTGGAATCTACTTCAAGGTGCTGGGCACCTAGGGTGCCTATACATGAGTGCGGAGGCTGCTCTGATGCGCTGTAATTACAGCATTTCAGAACAGACTCTATTAATTGAGTCTGCTGCAACATGGTAATTACCTTGCTCCATCAGCCTCCTGCATCTCATGTATCAGCATCCCCATGCTTCAGAAGGGCAGCAGGGGGCACTTGAACTAAAGCTCATTTGACAAGCTTTAGTTCAAGCACCCCTGCTGTAATTTTTGAAGCGTGGAGACACCGATAAACAAGATGTCGTGGTTCTTTAATTACAGCGATTCTCAGAGCCGCTCTAATTAAAGCACCACCCACACCCCCCAGACCACGTGTAAAAAGTGCCCCTACAGAGTAGGAGTTATTGTGTGTAACTTCTAGGTGCATAAGTACTTTATTGGATATAGCCCCTACCTATCCTTCTGCTCAGAACTTCTTGTGTGCTAGTTTCTGATAATTGTTGTCTTAGATGCCTACTTCTTACGTATTGTATAGGGCCTGTGCACGTTAGGGGAGACTTGGGCAGCTGGCTGTGAAGAGTTCCCATTTGTCCATTCAGCCTTTCTCAGTTA